CCTCTTTTCAAAACAGAATCTCCGTATCGGTGTTCAATTCAATACGATGGCCACTTTCCAGGGCACAGAAGACGTGGTATATTTACAATCCCCAAAATAATGTACCTCAGGACAAATTCTAACGTGTTTCTCTAGGCATCTAAACTACTATTCTTTTGTGTTCCTAGTTGCAATGTCTGATATAACCCACTGCCACAGTGACTGCCAGTGCATGGTCTTGATCTTGATAACATTCGTGCTTTCATTTCAACTCTTGATTGGCCTTTAGCAGTCAGTAAGTGAGGCTGTCACTCTATCTCCCATCCTTATGAAATTGAATTTTATGAAAGAGACATAGCCTAGAGTTTGAGAGGTTTGATTGACATCTTCCAAATGGCTGCCTTGCTTCAGTCACGTAAACGGTGCCCTGGAAGGGCTGGTGTCTTCCTGTAAGCAGGGAAAGAGCAGATAGGGGAGAAAGAAGACAGGGAAGACCCAGGCGCAGGACTCTATGGCACCCACTGCTGTTCCCTGAGATAGTATGCAGCCCCCCAACTCCAACCCAGTTAGATAGACAGCGTTTGCTAAACAGGGAACACTGATGACAGTAATTACATTGTTAATCCACTGCTTCAAATGGGGAGAGGGCAGGAGTATTGGAGGGACATTTTACCTCGTTTTGAATTCACAGAACAAAAATCCAAAGATATACAAGTGTTTATTAAGACCCAAGCTGAGAGCTACCTAGCCTTCACTTCTCTGATAATGATATATGAGGCATGTGTTTGGACTCTTTATCAGCTTTTCAGAAAAACATATATGTCTGCAATTTTACCTAGTTGACAAATTTCAAATTCTCCAGATGGCAGCTTTAATATGTTTAATATGATTGTGCTGTTCAAAAATAGCAATAGAGTTATCTCTAGAGAAAGTCATTTGCTATGAGAAGGCAGTACCATATGAAACTAAGAACATTGCAAGCTTTTTTTGGTACTTGGCTTTCACTGAGCTCTCGATGAATAAAAAGTCAGTACTGAACAAATAGCTAATGCTAATGATGAACTTAGCAACTGATTCTACCGAATTCCTAAAGTCCCTTATTGAATATAGTCAACCCATTCCTCATATGCGTTTCCCTGTGTTGGTAATGTTAGCCACATCGGGATGTTTTTGTTTGTATGTACTTGCCACATGAATAGACTTGGAAGTGGATTAGAACCAAATACATAGATCTATAGTGAGGGTGTCATTTGAATAGCTACACCTGGGCCCTCTTGAGAGTTTTGAGAATTTCCGCCCTAAGAACCATTTCAGATATTAGCATATCTCATAATATAAGGCTGATTCTGCCAGATAACATAAAAATTGTCTGATTCATCTCATCACGTATTCCCAATCCCACACTCACTAGTACCTTACTTAGGTATGCTTTGTGTTGCTCAGTACTTATAAAACATCGTCAAAAGTCATATCTGAACATGACAAAAATGGATAATATAGTCAGTCACATTAATGATCTAAAAGAAGAGTATAAAGTATATATCTCCACAGATGCAGAATTGATAAAGATCAGTCCCTATTTATATTAAAAAAGTAAAAAAAAAAAACCTCCTCAGTGATAGTGATGGAAGGGATCAGAATTCTTTGTGGAAAGCACCAAGTTATAATAATAAAAGCATACTATGCTAATTAGACCGGACATCCTTCTGGACGTCCTTCCAGACGACCTTCCGGAAAAAGCCAGGACTGCAAGGGAAGCCTGGGTCCCGGGTGCCTGATGGCGGCCAGAGAGAAGCCCAGGTCCTGGGTGCCAGAGGGAAGCCGGTGCCAGCAGCAGGGGGAGGGGGGGTTGGGGGGGATGGAAGGCCTACTCTTGCATGAATTTCATGCATCGGGCCTCTAATGCATTTCTAATAGGTTGGGGTTCAGAAACCAAACACACAAAACACCCCACAATTTATAGAGAGCAAAATAGACCAGCATGAAAGAGACATTCCATAAAACTTTTAATATGAAAATCACATACTCAACAGCAGTATATATATGTTTTCCAAGGCATATGCTAGTACATATATTTGTAAGTCAGGTGATTGAAAGAACACAAAATTTATATATATATAAACACACAACAAAAGGTCCAATGAGAGAAAGGGGGATAACACTGAGAACATGGGTTGAAAGAGGCAAAGAAGAAAATAAAATGAGCAAAACTAAAAGGAGGTTTGCCTTGACCCATGATGGTCTAATGTCACGATCTGACAAGTGTGATCAGACATTCTCTGGACTAAATAAAGAAGGTAAAAATGTAGTGTGTCCTGTAACAAGCAGAGGTCAGCAACATAAACTGTGAAAGCATTTTGTTTTGGAACTAGGTGTGCCTGGAGGTCACACAGTAGGGACAGACACAGGGGCCATGCACAGAGACTACATTTCTGTTCTAACACTTACCACTTCTCAGACTTCAGCGGATCACTTAGCCACACTGTCTCTTAGGTTTCTTACTCTGAAAAATAGGACAATAATAGTTATCTCCCGGTTTTGTGCAGAATCAATGAGACAACACATGACTTGGAATAGTGTGAATGCCGAGCACAAATGTAGTTTAACAAATATGTTTTCTCTTTCCCCCAATCCCATACCCCTCCCGGTAATTTTATAATTGATGCACTTCCTGCTGGAAGGGATTCTTGGAAAAAACTATAACTACTTCTCTAAGTCATTACTATGATACTCACTGATTTTTTTTCAGCGAATCTTCCATTTTTTCAGTCATAGCTCTAAATTACACAATCCATGCTAAAGCTATTTATGATGGCTAGTAGGGCCAAACAAAAAAAGATGAAAAGGAAGAAATATTATAAGTGAAGAATTGCACATTAACTTATTCAGTCTGCATAACCTTGTAAATAATATTTGATGACACTATTAGTTCTGTCATGTAAAAAGACTGATAAATGTTGATGTGACTTTATTTTAGCTTTGCAGTCATAGCAAGTATATTATCATCTATATATTCTTTATAATTAATGATGGTAGTGCTATTTTCTTCCATAATTCAAACATTAATGGGGATTACCCGCTGTTTGACTGATGTGCTTCATCCTCTCTACTTTTTCCCTGTTGTGTCCCCACAGTTATGATGCTCAAAATTTATAGTTTAGATTCTCCTTGCTGCTGTTTTACATCCCTACTCACTATTTATTCATAGGATATGGATAAGAGAAATCTCTGTTAGAATGAGCTTTTACACAGATGATTAGCAATGGTGCTCTGAGAATCACCACCTATTTTTTATACCATTGATGTATTCCAACAAGACACATGTAACACCACCTAACATCACAGTGGGTCTCCTTTTTAGGGAGTATTAACTGCATGGTCACAGTTGAAGGACTGTTTCATCAGAAGGCAGTTCAAGGCTGTGAGTCTGCAACTTCCATGCCAGTCTGGTTATTAATCAGTGAGAACATTACTTTCCACTGTTGGGACTCTGTTGGCATTTGTGAATTTATATTATGCAGGCTAGAACAGACTTAACTGCTGCTTTTGTAAGCATTGCCAAGTGAATTTCACCATTGACTAAGTGAAAATGAAGATTTGACTAGGCAGGGCTATTACGTTGCAACCATGACAATGGTACCCAGTGTGCCTTAGGAAAAACAGGTGCTGTGCTAACAGTTGTCGTGAGCTTCTTTTCTCTTTCACTGCCTGATGGAAAAATGTGCTGCTCAGCTAAAGAAATTCAGTGGGACTGATGATCATTCAAGCGGTCTTTAAACTGAACTACATGGATTTCATTGAACAGTTCAAGGGTTAGGATGTCCTTCTGACAAGAAATTAAGTTTAAACCATAGTGATGTTGGTAACGGGGGTTTTACAAATAATTTTCCTTTACAGCCTGAGTTAAAAAAAAAATTGTTGAATCTTTGTTTGGAATATCAGGTCCTTTCACAGTGTTTTAATTCAAACAGCAGTTTATTGTCATTGCACCTGGGGCAGGCAGGAAGAATAAAGCTAGGCTTAAGACACCCCTTCCCCCTTGCTTCAGTAGATCTGAAGAGAGACTTGCCAGCTATCCAGGTTTCACTTTTCAGTATAAAATGCCACTTCTGGACTAGAACCAATCTTAGTTTTATTTATTTGTTTGGGGGTTTTTTTGTTTGGTTGTTTTTTTTTTGGTTGCTTAGTTGATTGGTTTGCTTTCCCCCCTGACTGCGTATCTACATGTGTCTTCATTGTAAAACTATAAGCACAGATGAATGTAGGAGAATTTGAAATGACTTCAGTCCCTTGCTTTTTTATAACAGTAATGCTTTATTTTTATTTTTTGTTTCCATTGGAATAGAAAATTAATTCCATTATTTAATTTTCTTTTAGAGCCCTCCTTTTACCTGGTTACTGTAGCTAACGGGGTATGACAAAAAGCCATGTTTGATTTACAATGCAATACTCTTAGGGTTAGAAGGACCCTAGATATTAGTTGGAGTCCTGCATTTTGCAGATGAGGAATCAGACCCCCTAGAGAAGGGAAATGACTTACTGGGGGCACTGCAATTGCTTAGTGGCAGATCTGCGTGTAAAATTCAGGCCTCTTGACTTACTCCATAGTTCTTTTTCTTCTATATCAGCCCCTTTTGTCCTATTCCCTTATATGAGGACCTTGAGCAGATACTAACAACAAACCCTTCCTGTGATCTCTCCGAAGAACTTTCTGGTTGATAAGCTAAGTGCTTGACAGTGACTATGGCAATATACGTAATTTATCCTGTGACTGCACAGATGACATCCTATGAATACTGCTGGAAGCCTCCACAAACTCAACACTGAGAGGATTGTTAATGTCTATGGATCCACAGCTCCCATAGTTTTCATTTGAAATAGACCTGAAAATGTCATTCTCACTGTTAAAGACTAATGCCAGATATGGGTACCGCAGTTATAATTGCTAATTATGTGTCAGTGAGATCCAGTGCTTTCTTTCATCAGTGTGCTCACCTGTATATCCTGTTTTGTTATTCTAGGTTTGTGTGCTGGAGAGGCAAATATTTGACTTCCTTGGATATCAGTGGGCTCCTATCCTGGCAAATTTTGTACATATTATTATCGTCATTCTTGGTTTATTTGGAACTATTCAATACAGACCTCGTTACATAAAAGGAGTAAGTACCCTTCCAACCTTTTTCAAATGTTACCGAAATAGAGAAATATATGAAAATGTCTTAAAATTTTATATGCATAACGTCTCCTTAAAGTAAATATGTTTGTTTTCATAGTTTCAAATGACATCTACAATAGCTGAAAATGTCAAGTTTAAAGCATATGACAGTGAATGTAATCCAATTGTTTTCATGAAATGTACTTACATCAGATTTTCTTTTGTAATTAAAAGCAGAATTATGTCCCTATGCTTATAAAGCATAAAGTCATAGCCTCTGTCTTAATAGATTGAATGGGAATGTTCCCATTTTAAAAAATAATATTTAAAAACTGAATAAAGATAGTTTAAATTAATACAAATGAATTTATAGTTTCAGTGCGAACATATTAATACATATTAGGGTTAAAAATTGACATGTTGCTGGAACCGGTTTGGCTCAGTGGATAGAGCGTTGGCCTGCGGACTGAGGGGTCCCAGGTTCGATTCTGGTCGGGGCGTGTGCCTGGGTTGCGGGCACATCCCCAGTGGGAGATGTGCAGGAGGCGGCTGATCGGTGTTTCTCTCTCATTGATGTTTCTGGCTCTCTGTCTCTCTCCCTTCCCCTCTGTAAAAGGTCAGTAGAGTATATTTAAAAAAAAAAAAAATTGACATGTTTGAAAGCCAAAAGAGCCTGGACCAATATCTCTGTGTTCTCCATGATTTCCTTTTTGGCTCAGAGAAAGTATTTTGCATTCCCACTCAAGTTAAGCTTACTTTACATAAAAGTGAAATCCAACTGTGTTGCAGTTGCTATGGGAACCATAACTTAGGATTTTTTTTACTTTTGTATGTGCCTCAGATCTCAGCTATAGCTCTTCATTAATGTCTTTTTTTCTGTCTCATCATTTTTTTCTCTGTCTTCTATTTTAACAAAGGAAAAGTCTGTAGGCATTTATTTAAAATTATACAGTGAGTTTGTGGTAAAAGTAGATGTAGAAGATAGCACAGGTGAAGCCCTGCCTTATTCAGCACAAGCCGGCAGGTTGTCTGGGTTTCAGGAAGCCCTCCCACACATAAAAGGTGCCTCCCATGACCTGTTCTCTCTGTCACCGGGAAGCCAGATAACGCTCCTTGGTTCAGAAATAGGCAGTATGAGAGCAACTGGGGCGCAGACATTCACTGTCTGGTTAAAGATGAGCAAAGAGTTCATAGTCTTTTCAAAGTGCACACCCAGAAATTGAGTGCATGTTATATCTAAGGCTGTGCCCATGCAAATCTCATAAAAAGACAGATGTGTTCTCTTGCAGAGTGAAGTTTTTCATTGCACAGGATATTAATAGTATGGTTCATTTTTTTAAAATATAAGTTGTACTTTGATCCAATATAGGCACACTCTTATAGGGTTTGGGAGTGAAGTCATAATACCTGGATTGAAATCTTGCATCTGCAAAATTTTGTGTGACTTTAATATTTTTGTTTATTGATTGAGTTTAGAGCAAGATAAGAAAGGAGAGAGAGAGAGAGAGAGAGAGAGAGAGAGAGAGAGAGAGAGAGAGAGAGAGAGAGACCTTGATTGATTTATTGTTCTACTAATGTATGCACTCATTGGCTGATTCTTGTATGTGCCCTGACCGGGGGTCAACCCTGCAAACTTGGCCTATTGGGATGATGCTCTAACCGGCTGAGCTAAACTTTGTGTGACCGTAGAGAGCATAACCTCACTGATCCTTAGTGTCCCTATCTTTTAAATGAAAGCAATAATTATATTAATTCACATGCTTTAATTAGTTTATATATTATAACCAATTATATAAAAGATTCTTAACTTTTATTAATAAAAGATTTGAGGTTTCTCCATGATTTTATTCTTACAAAGGATGCCACTCTGATCATTATACATATAGATATGTCTTCTCCATTTCTATGAGGTTCTTGGGACAAAAATCTATGTGTGGATCTAAATGTTTGTACAGCTGAAACACTTGGAGGTTTGTTTTGAGGAATAAATGAGATATTCTATAAAATGTCCTTAGCACAAAACTTGGTGTTTAAAAATTTGTCAATAAATGTTAGCTATAAGAGTGTTTGCTCTCTTTATTGTTATTATTATTTGAAAATAATACTAAACTGTATAGATTAACAATAGGCTGGCAGGCACTTTAAAATAGAGTAAGGTGTTCCAAGCTGTTAGTTGAACTATTTCTGGTCCTTTTAGTCCAAGCTGCTGCAACTCTAAAATATGGTACATGATTTCTGTGTATCAAATTATAATCCCATCCCTGTAGATAAAATACATACCCACAAATCTTTTCAAGACGGGCTGCTCTCTCTAGCATGAAAGGTAAAAAAGGATGCCATAGGACATCTTTAAGATTGTTAGAACTTCTGTGTAGTTCAGAAAGTCTGAAATCTTTCTGAGGTCTTAACAAGGTGTCTTAGAGCTACATCTTTAGTTTGATCTTGACTAGCAGACAGCATTTTGAATTTGATCTTTTCCTTGAGACATTGTCTTACTTGGAAAATCTCTTGACAGCTGGAGATACTGTAAATGTGAAACTTTTATTTTTTAAATCAGCAAGTCCTGAGTTGGAAAAATATCCTGTAAATTATACTTGAAAAATGAATTGTTCTTTTTTTGATAATTTTTCTCTTAAATATCATGTTATATGTGTTTAAAAGGTGACAAGTAACACTGTCAATTCTTTGCTTGAAACCCCGTTAGCCTGGCCCACAAGGTTATAGGTATGTTCTCTGTCTTCCCAGTTACTGCAGGCTCTGGACAGGCTAATTGTTCTGACAATTGTCTTCATGAGTCCCCTTGGCCCCCGCCCTCTGAAACAGCTTCCTTATGTTGTTTCTGACTCCACCTATAGTCTCCTTGCTGCCCTCTGGCCTCCACCTGCCTTCTTGTCTCCAAACTAATGCTGAGTGTTTTGGGTTTGTGTTATAGTACCACTCAAGTTTTAGCACCAATTTCTGTTCTAGTTACCTATTTTGGTGTAATTTCTGTATAACAAACCATTTCTGTATAATTGAATTCATGGAATCTGGTGGCTGTGATACCATGTTGAAAGTCAAAAGTGCAATCAGGAAAATAGATAATTTGCCATAAAAATGGAATTAAGATTTTTCAATTTCCCTTAATATTAAAAAAAAGAAAAACAACAACTACAATTAAAAGACATTTCAATGGCATCATAGATGCCAAAAATTTTGATCAGTGAAGGACTTGGTTTTAACATCTTATCAAACAATTTGAAACTTATATGACCAATTCATTGTTCATTCTACCAATTACACCAATGTTATATGTTATACTACATAACATAATACATAATACATTATGCTGTTTTTATATATATTATGCTATTTCCATGTCATTATCATAAACAATTCCCTATTTTCTCCACAAAAATTCCTCATCTTTACTTGCAATTTAATTCGTTAGGAAGAATTGCCTAGGTATAATGAAATAATATGAATAATTTTAAGGCTCTTAATATATAACTGAGAATTGCCTATCCCTAATTATTTTACTGAATTTTCCTCCCACCACTGTACAGCAGAGTCTATTTCACTGCACTCTGGCTAACCTTGAATATTATCTGTTCTCACTTTTGTTAATCTGATAGGAGAAGAAAATATATTTTAAATTGCCTTTCTTATTTTTACTGAGTTGGGCTTTTTCATATGTTCATTAACCATTTTTATTTCCTTTTTGGGAGATTATCTTTTGGTGTTCATTGTTCATTTTCCCCCTGGAGTCTTAGTGCTTATCTATATATGGATCACATAGTAAAGATATTTGATATTTACATATTATAAATTTTCATTTGATAATTATTATTTTTCTCTTATTAAAATTAACTTTTCTTTCTCTTTGAGATTTCTTGAATTGCTTTAAACATTATAAAATGTATATATTACTTGAAAAGGGTAATGTTAAGCCTTCATTATCTTTGGGTCTAAATTTACTAAAACCAAAAGGCAGATACCCTGAAATAGAGTCTAAGAAATGCATCTCTTTCTACATTTTCTATTTGTAAACATTTTTATTTATTGATGCAACATTTTACTCTATGTTTTGTTTTGTTTTGTTAACTGGAAAAAAAAAGCCCCCAAAAAGCATGTTGGCATCATCTGAAACACAGAACACATGATCAACAAATAACATGTAGAGAGTATTGGTATATTTAAGAGTAAAGAAGAAATTTAAAAAAAAATTAAAACAGTTAATTGAAACAGGAAGTCATTAGTATTCTTTGAGGGCCTCTGGCTTTCAAGGAGTATAATATATTGAAGGAAAATGAAATTGATTATTTCAATTCCAAGCAAAGGAAACCTAAAGCCAGAATTCATAGAAAGCATCTAAATTGTGTAATTCTCAACAGTATCAGTCCGCATCCCCCTCAAAACAAAACAAACAAACAAAAAACCACAATTAACTCTGGTGAAATAATTCATGAATAAACACATACATGGCTCCCATGAAAGCATGACCTTATTTTACCTTATGTTATAAGTGGAATTGTTTAATGCATCTTTGTCTGGGCCTGAAGCAAGCAAAATGTGATTTGGGATATCTAATGTTTATTATGAATGACAAGAAGATGTTAATGAGTAGAACTGCTTTAAATTTTCTCGAATAATCTGAGGAGTGTGTAGGTTTCTAATTGCTAATGGCAGAGCAGTGTTCTTGGTGATATTGCCAAAGGACATGATGCTAATAGCACGCAAAAACATTTCCTTCCTTCCTTCCTTCCTTCCTTCCTTCCTTCCTTCCTTCCTTCCTTCCTTCCTTTCTTCCTTCCTTGTTCCTTCCTTCCTTTTCTCCTTCCTCCTTCATTCCCTCCTCTCTCCCTTTCTTTCTATTTAATGAAGTTATTTTGAAAGAATAAAAAATACCTTATACAGTTTGAATCTACAGGCTTGATCAAAGAAACCCAGTCCCAAAACTAGCTATGAATTAAAAATAGCTAAAAATGTATTACTCAAATGTTATAAGAATGTAGAAGAGTATAG